CAACTCTGGGTGCTTTGGCAGGTGATATTAAGATGATATTGCCACACTTGGCCTGCTTTACAGGAATGTTTCTTTTTACCCCTACAGTCTCTGCTCCCTGCTTCCTACCCCTAGAATCTACAGTGCTCTGTCCTTCTGCAGAGGTACAAGAGATAGAATGCTTTTCACCAGGTTCCAAACCACAGCCCCCTATTTATCAAGTGCAAATTGACTAATGAAAAACTACTTCCTTTGACCATTACACTTGACCATACTATTTAAGCCAAGTGAAAAGGCATGCCTTTAAAATAGAAAAAAATATATATCTATATACTTACCTAACTCAAATGCTTGTGAAAGATCGTGATTCAGCAAATCAGTTTAATGGATTGCACCTAACGTAGTTTCTGTACAGAAAGTGAGTGGTTGGTATCCAGTTTCTCTTTAGACTATAGACATCTTGCAAAAGATGTCAGCAAAACTTGCCCTACTTTTCTCTCCACCAAAACTTCATGCACTGTTCTCATAGCCAGGAAAAAGAGCTCCCTGATCAACAGGAAGGAGCAGGGTCTCCAGGATACCTTCTACTCACCACCCTCATGAGCATCCCCACCATCACCATGATCATCAACACTTCTCCCACCACTGCCACAACCATCACCACCATCATTGCCATTATCATCATCATCATCATCATCATCATCATCATCATCATCATCACCATTACTTACTGTCATTACCACAGCCACCACCACCATCACCGTTACTACAACCATCATCACCACTGCTATCACCCGCTCAGCAGCAGCAGTGGCAGGAGCAGCATCACCATTACTATTATCACCACCACCACCCCACTGCCACCAGTGAGCCCCTGCTATGCATCCATCAGGCAGAACTTACCCCATAATATTGCTATGAGCTCAATACTCATATTTCTATTTTCCAGAGAGGTTAAGAGACGATAAAGAAATCATTTTTCCAAAGTTTCTCTGCTCATAAGAAATAAGGCTGACTATCACCAACTCTGAAGCCTTAATTTTTCTCCTGTTTTTCCTTATTGCCCCAACCCACTTCTTTCTTTGCTCATTGGTTCTTCCTGTCCACTGCTCCTTAATCTTGGCTTGCCCCCAATATTATATTTTCTGTTTTCACTCACATATTTTCAATTATAAATTATAAGGCACATATGGCTCCCTTGTAGTAGAACTTAGTAGAATCTGTTCTACATTTATGTTCATTATGCTGTGATTCTCTCCAGACATGGACTTTTTGAGGACTGTGTATGTCTATTGCCCACTTTATCTGCAGTTTCTAGGACTCAGCTCATAATTCTCTCAGTAGTTTGTGGGATGAACTAACCAATGAATGCGTAGATATATAGGCAGATGGTTAAAGAGACAGATGCATTTCCAGAGGACTGGTGGATAAATAAATGCATTCATGAAGCTAAGGATACTCTTAAGCTTACATTCCTAACTCTGTCATCTCCCTTCACCTGTCTCCAGCTAATCATCAGTATTTTGTTCTTGGTCTTTTCGCTGTGTTGTAGAACTAAGCTTGTACAAACTTGAAGTCTATCCTAGCTCATTCCTTCTTATCTCATTTCTGACAGTGATACTGCTTTTCTTCCCAGTGTCCCCTTCACACTCTTGTCTGATTACATCATCCATTCAACAGTTCTAAGGTTTAGTGTTGTTGTTACCTTTTGGTTTTTGGTTATATGCTACGTGTCAAACACCATTCTAGGGAGACAGTAAATAAGACAGGCAAGGTCATGGGGAAACTCCAAGAATTTTGCAGGCAATGTTGGGGTAGAAGATGGCACAACAAGAAATAAAGAAGTAAAAAATGAGCGAGATAACTCTAGAGCGGAGTGAATGATACATTAGGGGAGCAGAATGATGAAAAAGAACTAAGAAACCTCACATTAGAAAAGATGTTTAGGGAACAAGTGCCATGCCCAGGCCATTACCAGCGGGGAAACCAGACCCAAGCCTTTCCCTGTGAGTCAGAGCAATTTGCAGACTGCGAGGGGTACAGAACAAGGATTCACCAAAAAACAAGCCCTCCCTGAGAACCAGCATCATGGGCATGCTGCTGCCAGTGGAGGGACAGCCAGAACCCAGCCCTTTCCAGCCCACAGCCTGGCAAACAAAAGCGAAGCTCCCTTCTCCCCTCCCCCAAGCAATCAACCAGCTGATCAGGAGAAACATGGGCTGTGATGACAGCAACTGAAGTGAAATGAAACTTGATGCTTGTGGTGTTTTGGTGTTCCACTGACCTTGCAGGTCTAGGGCCAGTGGTCTGATCATCTGTTCAGAGGACAGGGGTACACAGTGTGGCATCTAGGGGAGATCCCCAGAGGATAGTAGCCATTGTTAATTACCTATTACTTTGTTTTGAAGTCCTGTATCAGTTTTATTGTTTTGTTGGACTGGGTTTTGTTCTTTCTTGTTTTGTTTAATTTTGTCATATCTGATGGCATGCGCAGTTATTTCAATAAAAGCACGTTATATTATTGTAGCCATTTTGGATTTACTGTAGTCTTGCTTTGAAGTCCTTTATTGTATTCATTGTTTTATTTTCATTGGTTCTATTCTATCCTGTTCTGTTCTGTTTGATATTTCATGTGTCTGAGGGTATCTGTAGCTATTTTGGGGACAGCAAGAGGCATTATGATAACTATTGTTGATTTTGTACTGCTTTGAAGTCCTGTGTGACTTACACTTGTTTGTTTTGATTGGTTTTGTTTTATTTTGTTTTCCTTGGTTTTATCTTCTTTAAAAACAAAACAAAATACAAACAACAAATTCTTCTCCAGGTTAAATGAATAAATGGTAGCACATTTGCACCATGAAATACTATACTGAGAGGAAAACAAATCCACTACCGATACATGTGATGTGGATAACTCTCAAAAGGAAATAAGACACTCTCAAAATAGCATGTACTATATGACTCACTATTTAAAAGTTTCAAAGTAGGGGCTGGGGGTTTAGCTCAGCGGCATAAGCGCCTGCTTTGAAAGCAGGCAGTCGTGAGTTCGATCCCCGGTACCGATAAAAAGGAAAAAGACAAAAAAATAAATAAATAAATAAATAAAATAAAAGTTTCAAAGCAAGGGAGGATGGGATGACCTGCAGGGAGGATCTGAGACTGGCAGCAGAGTGAGGAGGAGAACTGGTGATGTTCTGTCCCTGATCAGAGAAGTGGCGGCATGAGTGTGTTCACTCTTTAAAATGCATGATGCTTTGCATTCATGATTTTTCTGAATATACGATGCTATGATTTCAATAACTGTCTCCCCAAAGACAAAAAATATTAGAGACTGTCCCCAAGCTGATGACATAGGGGGTGATATAAGCCTTAAGAGATAAGGCTCAAGAGGAAGGCTTTAGGTCTTTGGCACTGTGCCCTTGAAGGGGAACGTGTAACCTCAGCCCCTTCCTCTTTATTTCTTTGCTTTCTGGCCATAAGATGAGCTATTTTTCTATGCTTCGTGTTCCTACTAGGATATTGTACCTTGTCACAGGTCCAAAAGCAACAGAGTCAAACATGAAGGGGGATAAGCTAATTACTTCAAGTATTTTGTTACAGTGCTGGGAAGCTAACTAACACATGTAGTGCACCTCAGATCAAAGTTTGTATTTAGAAGGATTGATTTAGAAAAACCATCATAACGTAGTGACTGATGGATGTGGATGGAGAGTAACGGAAACAATCTAGTGTGGCTCTGATTTTGGCACAAGCAACTGCAGCAATGGGGTTGCCCTTTCCTGGATGAGAAAGAGTAGAAGAAGAACTGGTATGGGAAATGGAAGAAATCAGATTCAATTTTCAGTGTGCTGTGATGGAGGTAGTCGTCACCCAGATGTGGAGAAGGGGGCAAGGAGAAGTCAGAGGTGGATGCTTATTCAGAAGTCCTTTCCTTGTAGCTAGGATAATGAGATTATATGAGTCTCAAAGAGAGTGGGTGTGGAGAGCAGAGAGAATGCCCTCTGGGTGTGGGGAGGCTTAACTATTTAATGTGGCAAAGGTGAAGAACCACAAAGGAGACCATGAAAGAGTAGCCAAGAGCTCAGAAGACACTGGGGAGTGTTGAGTCCATGGGCCAAATGGTTTAAAGGGAAAGGGAACAATAAACGATGTCTAATAGGTCACTGTGAGTTCTGAGTACTGACCCCTAGCTCTGACAACCAGAAGACCATTGACAATCTTACCAAGGGTGGTTTTGTGGATTGTCATACAGGTGGTTTGAGTGAAGCTGTCTGTTGAGCCAGGTGCTAGGGACAGTGTTAAAACAACAGTGTAACCCAGATCCAGAATATTCAGCACTTCCACTGCAGCTTACTTCCTCATTCTTGGTTTACTAATAATCAATATCATGCAAACTACCAACACCTTTGTTAAAGTAAGCATCCAGTGACTTCCATCAGGAAGTTGGAGTTGTTTGGAAGCCCAGTTTTCAGAGAGCTTTCATTTTCATTTTTCTTGTGTCCAAACAGTACCATAAGTACAAAACACACCAGTGTGGAGTAGGATGGGACAGATGGGAAGTGAGCTGGGAAAGCAGGAGCACAGAAAGCCCTTCTAATTTTTCCTGGGCAGTGAGCAAACAAGTGGGTAGGAGGTGGAGGAGATGTGGGCTTGGAGACTTCTTACCCAGTGTTACCCAGCCAGCCTTACCCAGATGGAAGATACTGCAGTATATTTGTGGAGGGGAACAATGGACACAAGAGAGAAGAAGCAAGCTAAAGATAGGTAACTGAGCAGAAGGGACTGGTGTGTCACCTGCCAAGTTGTTGGAAGGGCAAATCAGGTGGCCCTAAGATGGCCCCTGCAGATAAGGCATTGGGAAGGAGGCTGATAAAGGCTGGACTGCTACTTCTGGTTCTCCTTTTTTCAGCCAGGCCCCAGGGCATGGACTCAAAGGTTTCTTGTAGAAAACTGGGCCCTGCCTGGGCGGGGCAAGAGTTGTCACTACTGGGCAGGGCCAGGCAGCATAAGGCTCTCTCCCTAACAGGCTGGTACAGCCTGAAGCTCAGCAGAGCCCTCAGTCAGAGTTTGGCCAACATGATGGAGTTTGGGCCTCCTTTGGTGACTTGGGAGCGCAGGCTGCAGACTCTTGTTCTCCTACTGTGGATGCTCTACCTTTTGCTTATGGGTAAGGCTGTCTGGGGAACACCGGAGCCATGGGCTTCTGGGTAGGGCAGAGCAGCCATACCAAATGCCACATTGCATTGATAAAGGCAACACTATAGAGGCTGTGCTATGCTGAGAGTCCAGACCTTCAGAGCCATCTTGGTTCTGCATGAAGGCTTTGATGGTGAGTAGGATCACCTATGGCTTCGTGCAGACTTGGGATTTCCTGAACTGTGCTTCAGGCTCTTTCTTGGTCTGGGAGGAGACCCTGCTACAGGCTGTGTGTGGATTAGTGAGCTTCTGGTGATGCTGGGAACTGCTCCTCATACTGTTGGCACAGGATACGTTTTCATCTCCCCTCTCAGAAAGGGGCAAGCTGGGAATGGGAGATCAGAGCAAGGAGCAGACCCTGCAGGTTCCTGCTTCCTCACCTGCAGATTGGACTAAGGAAGCTGCCCTCCTGGGCCATTGTGAGTGAGCTGAAGACAGATGTTGCCTCTGCCCAGCACAGATTTAGGGATGCCCTGGGCTGGCCTCACACAGGAGGGTGTGGTGCCCCTCTGTCACCCCACTGGTAAGGAAACTTTTCCAAGGTGAATTTGGGACTGTGGATTGAGGAGTAATTGGGAATGTAGGGGAGTAGTCTTCCTTTCCTCTTCTGCCACCAGACAGGAGAAAGTTCTACTCCCAGTGCTGGGGTTCAGTTTGTGCACAGGTTCTACCATCCTTCTTGTTAAGATGTTGACATCCATGCACACGTTGGTCAGTAGCTCTCTCTCAGAACTTTCTCAAAAGTTTCTAGCTGAAGGATTCACCCCTGCAAAGCAGGCCCTGTGTGACTGTGTCCCTCCTATCTCTTCCAACTGATCTAATTGATCTGCATCTCCACCCTAAGGTGTGTGAATTATTTTGCTTTTTATTTTATCATATTTTAGTTGTTTTTGTTTTTGTTTTTTGAGCCCTTGAGCTCACTTTGTAGCCCGGCCTGATTTCGAACTTGGAGTAATCATTCTGCCTCAGCCTCCTGAGTGCTGGTATTATAGGCATGCACCACCACACCTGGCCAGGGGCCTGATTTATTTTCAGTTCTTGGTATATTCTAGTTCTTTGTCTGAGACCACTGACTATCTGTTTTTCCTACTCTGTGCATTGTCTATTCACGTTTTTACTATTCTGCATTGTCTTTTCACTTTGTGGATGATTTGTAGTACAAAAGCTTTTTTTCCACCCAAATCCATTGTATTTCAGGGAGAAAAAGAAAAAAAAATTGAAGAAGAAGCAGCAGAAAACTAAGACAAAATTTCAAAACAGTTCATTCAGGGGAAAAAGCTTTTTAATAAGGTGAGATCTCACTTGTTAGTTCTTTGTTGTATTTCCCACCCGGTCTGAGTTTTGTTCATGGTGTCTCTGCCTACATTTATGTCCTCAAGATTTCTCCATATTTTCTCTTCCAGTAGATTTAGTGTTTCTGTTTTAATATTTAGAATTGAGATCCATTTTGACTTTTCTTTAGTGCATTCTGATAAACATTGATCTACTTTTAGTCTTCAGTATATGGAAAACCAGTTTTTCCAGCAGTGAACCTTTCTTTCAGTGAACACATTTGGTTCTTTTGTCGAAGATAAGGTGGTTTAGTGCGTTTGTAGTTGTCCGCATCTTGTACTCTATTCCACTAATCCTCAGGTCTGGGCTTATTTTCCAATACCATGCTGATTTTATCACAATTGCTTTGCAGTATAATTTCAAGTCAAGGATTGTTGTATCTCCAGGTTTGCTCTTGTTGCCCAGAATTGCTTTTGCTATTTCAGGTCTCTTTTGTTTTCGAATGAAGTTTAGGAATGTTCTCTCAGTTCTGTGACATACAATAATGGTGTTTTGATCAGGAGTGCATTAAATCTGTGTAACAGATTTGGGAGTAGAGCTATTTTCACTATGCTGGTCCTTTCCAAGAACAAGGGACATCTCTCCATTTTCTTGTAAATTTTTCCATCTCCTTTTTCAGAGTACTATAGTTTTCAATGTATAGACAGTTTATTTCGTTAGAATGATTCCTCAGTATTTCATTTCTTTGGATGCTATTGTAAAGGTCATTAAGTATATTTCATGTCAAAAAGTGAATGAAAATTAAGCCTCTCTCCCTTGTATCCTTGCTTGCTGGCATCCCATCAGCTTCCTCCAGATCAGGGAGGTTCTTCCCTCCCTTGTGTGCATGTGTGAATGTCCTCTTTTGTGTACAGGGTAGCATTTCAGTTCCACCCTTCTGAAAATTTCTCTTTGAAAATATTCATTATAAAATATTTAAGACAAACAAACATGTAACCAACACCTAAGCTGCATTGGCTCCTCCCCTGCCCCCAGGAAAAGTCCAGGCCTTTTGAGGATAGAGACTGGGCTAGCACAGCACAAGAGCTGCAGGCTGGAAAGAAGTCTGGGTGCATGGAGGAGGGGCATTGGGGAAGGCAGACTCCCACCTGCCATTTCTCCCTGTTTCCCAAGAGACAACCATTTCTGGATTGGTATAGGAAGCCTCTCTCTATTTCACTAGTGTGATAAGTGTTTGCAAATAAGGGCAAACATGCAAGCAGCCGCAATGTCAATCAGGGGCTAACTGGATAAACAAAAAGTGGTATATACCTACTGTGGAGTATTATTCAGCCTCAAAAAGAAGTTGTGACACTTGCTGCAAAGAGAAACTGAAGACATGCAGAGTGAAGCAAGTCATTCTAAAGAGACAAATGCTCCCGGGGATGGTGGTGCAAGCCTGTGAGCCCAGCACTTGGCAGGCTGCGGCAGGAGGATCAGCACAGGGTAAAGGCCAGTGTGGACTACAGAGTGAGAGCCTGTTTCAAAAACAAAACAAAACAATACAAATAATTCATAGTCCCACTTATACGCGGTCAAGGATTGTGGTAACTTATAGGGAGAATAGAATGGTGGTTTCGAGAGGTAGGAGGAAGAGGGGGATGAAGAGTTTCTATTTAATGAGGACAAAGTTTCTCTTTGGGATACCTACAAATGTTCTGGTGGTGACTGATGATGGTCGCATAAATTATGAATGTCCTTAATATCACTGAAGATGTTAAGATGTTAAATTTATTTCATAAATATTTTACCAAAATAAAAAAATTTAAACAAAACAAAAACTAAATGCCCCAAGTGCAACCGTGGAAAGTTTCTTTGGTCCTGGTCCACACGGATTACCAGCACCTGGCACCTTGTAGGTGCTCCATGCGGAGCAACTGTTTGGGGGCCCCAGCCTGCCTCTGCTGATTCTGAACCTGCACTACCATTCAGACTGGCTGCAAAGTTGCTTCTTCAAGGAAGGCTGCCAGTTCTCTAATTCCAAGTGGACCACCAGAAGCTGGCCTTCTTTAGGAGTATGAGGATGGGTAGTGGGAGTGCACCTCAGAGATAAAGTACTTGCCTTGCATGCCTGAGTCCCACAGTTCAATCCCCAGCATGGGACTGGAATAAACATGAAGTGGAAAAATGCATGGAGTGAATGGTGTGGGAGAGTGATATTCTCTAGGATTCACACTGTATTGGGATGCTGCCAGAGGTCACTTGATCCTGAAATCAAACAGGATTAGCTGTGGCAAGGGTTAGAGTGGACTTCCTTGCTGGGGCTGGGCCTTGCCCTGCTGCTCACACAGGCAGGCAGGGCTGATCTCTGCCTGCCTTCTTCCTTCACCAGGAAAGGGCACTGGAGGCAAAAGAGGGGAGCTCGGTGGCCTAAGAGTTCTGAGCACATGCATGGGGCCAGAACTTTGGGTGTGGAAGGGGGAGGGGAAGCCAGAGCAGGACTGGGTAGTGCCAGCCATAGAGAGTCCAGTGCCAGCTGTGCTGCTGGGACTGTGCTGTGGTGCTATGGAGAAGTCATGAAGGGCTTTAGTAGAAAAGGGGACCCACCACACTTATCTTTAGTAGGATAAGGCAGAGTCTCCAACTACAAGAACTAGAAGAGTTAATCCAATCAGCCCAGCCCACCCCCCACCCACACCCACACCCCCACACTCCCCCACCCCACTCCACCCCCACCCCGGTGCTGAGCACCTGGTGAAGGCACACTGCCTGAGTGGGAGAGTGCTGAGAGGGAGTGATAGCTGGAGTCAGGAAGCCAGGAGCAAGGTGGGGTGGCAGGCAGAAGTGTAATTTTGAAATAAGCCCACCTAGGCTCAACCCATGCATCGGAAGTGGCCCTGGGTTGGCTGTGTTCCCTATCAGTACCCCCAACTCTTTCATGGAGGAGGCATGGAAATAAAGGTAGGTTTCTTGGGTCAGGGACAGGACAGAATGGTGCTTCCAGTGCAGGCCTCATGGCAAAGACATTCTGGTCTGGGGAGTGTCCCTGTACTGTTCACAGACCTAGGATTCCTGATGCTGTGCTTCCCTCTCCAGGCCTGATCTTCCTCGGGGTCTTTGTAGGCCTCCTGTTCACTAGGTTCTGGCTCTTGACTGTACTGTACGCCTTCTGGTGGTCCCTGGACCGAGACAAGCCACGGCAGGGGGGCAGGCGTGTAGAGTTCTTCAGGCGCTGGGTCATATGGAAGTACATGAAGGACTATTTCCCGGTCTCGGTGAGTACTGAGCTAGTTTGAGTTGGGCAGAGGGGACCCGGACCTCCACCTCTTTGTTGGACAAGTGGCCCTGTATACAGTGAGCAGAGCACCAGGCTGGCAGATAGGAGCCTGGGCTTCCCTCATCATGTGGCTGGGGTGGGTAGGGTCCAGCTTGTCTCTGGCCATGGTTTCCCAACACTGGAATATGGGGCCAATGAGAGGATTTTTTTGTTGTTGTTCTGGGGATCAAACTCATAACTTCATGCCTGCCAGGCAGGCACTTATGCTGCTGAACTAAATCCCTGGCCAATGAGAGGATTTGAATGAGCTCTGTGGGATGTGTCATGTCCAAGGCATGAACTGTGAAAGCACAAATCCATGAGCAGCCCAGGTTTGGGGTACAGATAATACCCTGCAGGTCTTCAGAGACCATTTACCCTCCTCAGATGAAGAGGCTGAGATGCAGACAGGAACACAGGCGGGGCCAGTGTTACATAGCAAGTTGTCTGGCAAATATTGAAGTCTGTATTTGCACGCTAAGGGAAGAGGTAACAGAGCCATCAGAGTCTTCAGGTTCTGTCCTGTCCCTCCCTCTGGCTACTGTGTGTCCATGAGCAAGGCCTTGTTCCATTGTGACCTCAGGTTCAGTTTGCAGACATGTCTTCCTACTGTGAGTGCCCTCAGCTCTCTGGCTGTCTGGCCCATCGGACCTCCAGGCCCTGGACTTGAAGGCTGGTTCTGAGTGGATCAGATCCCTAGATTTGACTGAGCAGACTCTTCCACCGAGTCCAGACACACCAGACCCTGATTTGATCTATGCAGCAAAAGTTTTGTTTGTCAGAGGGCATAGAATGGGAAGATCCTGGAGACACAAGAGAGGCCAGGCAGGCACAGCTGGCTCTCCTTTGGAAATAGGACAGAGGAAATGTGACCTCTGGAACCAGACACACTAGATTCTGATCTCGGGTCTGCCATATAGCACCTGTGTGACCTTGGGTGAGTTGAGAGTCTGTCTGAGCCTGTTTTGTCACCAGTAAAATGGAAATGTTGCCAGACACTTCCTAACTAGCATTCATGCAGTTGAGACAGAGAAGGCAAAGGACTGCCAGTCCTCAGGACACTGGTGCAGTATTATTTCACTGAGTCAGCGGGACTCTGAGGAACCCTGGGCATGGCTATGGTGGGAAGGTCTCTGGGAGCCTGGTGCCTTCACCTCTGCCTGGCTTCTCCCACCCTGTGCACAAACCCAGCTCTTCCTGGCTCTCCAGGAATTAGGCCTCCAGTTGGGGAGAGAGTGGAGGAAGTGGGTTCACAGAGGTTAAACAACTGCCTGAGTCCCGGGCACTTTGCAGCAAAGTCAGGTATCTTGCCAGGCTTCCTTGTGCCAGTCCTAGGTCCTCACAATGGCTGGCAAGATCTGGGTACCACCTGTATCAATACACCCCCGTGATTGAGACCTCCAGGGCAAAAGCCAGGTGGGAGTGGCAGGGTAAGGGAGTTGGCTGCCTTAGATGATTGCCCCTCATTGGTTCCTGTGGGTTGTAGGTGTGGAAGGGCAGAGCACCTGGTCTAGCTTGGATGACTCAAGTTGGGGCAGTTTTCCCCACCCCTCAAATGTGCTTCCTCTTCGGGGCCTAATCCTGGGATCTTGTCAGCAAAGAGTCAGGGGCCTAGAGAATCCAGGGGTGTGTCCTGGGCAGAGTCCCTGTCCCCAGCCCTGGACCTGTGAGCTTTGAGATCTTGCACTACCTTCCCTGCTTCACATCTCTCCACCCTGGGGCTCCCCTTCTATGACAGGACTGTCAGGCTCCCCTTGAGACTGTATAGCCTTAGTGCAAAAAGACATTTTTAGCTACAAGGCTGGCTGAGGCAGTGGCACTGATATTTCTGTTTCTTCCTCAGCCCTTGAAGAAGCTTCTTAAACTCTGCACTGCTGACATTGGCAGGACATTAGAGTTGGTTTTGCAGAAACCTGTCCCACAGTTTTTCAGGCTTGTTCCACACCCTTTGTAACACCTCTGCCAAGCATAAGCAGTACCACTAAGCGGCCAGCAGAGGGCCAGGGGCCATTCACCTGGGCAGTGGTCCCTACAGTCCTGTAAAGTGTCAGTGTTAACCTGGAGGACATAATGGTGGTAATGGGGTGAGGATTTGCAGAGGTCAGGGACAGGAGAATATTGAACTGTCCAATCTGGATACAGTGGACAGGCTCAGGGCCCCACAGCAGCCTGCAGGTGGCTCTTAGGGTAGACCACTAGACCAAAAGAAGCCCCAAGGTAGCCAGAAGAATCCTCAGAGAGTCAGTCACCAGCTAAACATTTCAGCTTGGTGACAGGAAGAACTTTCACCTGGCAAAACTGTGCCTGAGTAGACAGTCTAAAGGAATACCAACTGCATGGCTTAGCAGACTTGTCAGTGAGCTGGCTGCCCAAGGGTTGGGGCTTGGAATAGGGACTCTAGGACCCCTGTCTGCTCCGATGATCAGGACACCTAGAGTGCAGGGCATTGAGAAGGGTGAAGCCCGCAGTTACTGGGGAAGGGACTCAGCTGCACGTAAAACCATAATCTCCAGCAAGGGCCATTGCAGACGCAGTTACATCACATAGCCTACCTGAGCAGCATTTGTTAGCACAGTTTTTGCCTGTTTCTCCCTTGCTGCACTTCACTGTGAAGATGCTAATGACAAGTACTCTCTCCATCTCTATCGACACTGCTCTAAGCTCCATGCAATAGGGCTGACCAAGCCAGGGCAAATGGAAAGGGAACAGAGGGCAATGAAAGCCTGGCCTGCAGGAAAAGAGAGTCATAGGGGAGACCCAAGAGGCACAGGGCAGTAATCATGCTAGAATCCACATAAAGACACTTTTTCTTACATTGAGTGTTATGAAGTGGGGGCTTTTCCTGCCGAGGTAGCTCCCAGGTGATCCTCTGACTCCACCCATCTGGTAGTCTCAGTCATTCCAGGTACTCTAGCTTCTCTAGGAGAGAATAGGAACAAGGCCAGATGTTTCCATTTCATAGATAAGAAGCCTGAAATGAGAGGGAAACACTTTGCCCAAAGCCAGTACTAAGTCTGTAACACAACCACCACCATGGTGTGACCGTCTGCATAAGAAGCCAGGGCAGTGCAATAGGAGAATGAGAACCCTGAGGCTCACAGAAGACAGCTTGTCAGGTGCTGTGGGTGGCTGACTCGGGACTGGCACACAGGCCCTGGTTTGGTTCACCAGATTGCTATCTCTGCAGCTGGTCAAGACTGCTGAACTGGACCCCTCCCAGAACTACATTGCGGGCTACCACCCCCACGGGGTCTTGGGGATTGGATCCTTCCTCAACCTGTGTACTGAGAGCACAGGCTTCTCCTCACTCTTCCCTGGCATCTGCCCACATCTGATGATGCTGAACTTGTGGTTCTATCTCCCCTTCTTCCGAGATTCCATCATGAACATGGGTGAGTCTCCCTACCTAGAGAAGCTCAGGAAGATGAGGCTAGTGGTATATATTGGAGGGCATCTTAGGGAGGGGTTCTAACAGTTTTACAGTTCTTCTGAAAGCATGTGCAGGAGGCCAGATCCAAAGAACTCTCTGCAGCACTGTACTGGGAGGACTCTTGCCTGAAATAGAGTGCCATGGAGGACCCCAGGCCTCTTACGCTACTGGTGATTTCCTTCTTGGGCCAACTTTAGTCTCACAGTCTTGCTCCCTCACTCTACATTCTTCTCTCCAAAGGGTTGGTCTCCTCAGACAAGGAGAGTGGCACTCACATTCTGAACAAGAAGGGCAATGGGAACCTGCTGGGCATCATCATCGGGGGAGCTAGGGAGATACTGGAGGCCAGTCCTGGATCCTACAGGCTGCTACTTCGGAAACGCAAGGGCTTCATCAGGCTTGCCCTGACCCATGGGTATGGACCTCAGGGGATAGCACTTGGGGTTCAGTTGGAGGTTGGGCAAGGATTACATTTTGGTAGGAAAAGAACAAAGACTAACAGAGATTCTAATATGGCTGGGAGACTCTTGGTCCATCCAAAATGAATATTATATTTTGGTGTTTCACATGCCTTGAGAAATTTCTATGAGGGAGTCTCAGAGATCAATGGGCCTTATCAGAAGTGAATGTGTTCCCCAAAACTGGCACAAGAGTGGAGAATAACAGGATCTGAAAAAATGGGGTTGACAGCATATGGCAGAGATCTTACCCTGCTTTGGAGTGAAGCATATTTGGTAAGCATGTGCCAGCTAGTGTGGGAGAGATCATTCTAGGAGCAAAATTCAGGTGTTTTATCCCAAGGAACTGTCTACAGCACTCTGGGGTACTGTCATGATGCGAGTAGGAAGCTGTAGGCCTGAGAGGACATACCAGTTCAGAGGTGGGTTGTGGCAGGTCTGGTAGCTGATCCAGACCTCCTGGTTCCAGCACAGGCTTCTGTTATTTGCTCCAACTCCTTGTACCTGAGTCCCTGTGGGAAGCTGGGTTATCTTGCAGTTTATGCCATCTCTTGTTCTCTCTGTACATAGGGCATCCCTGGTGCCAATCTTTTCCTTCGGGGAGAATGACCTATTTCACCAGGTTCAGAACTTTTCTGGCTCCTGGTTTCACCGTGTCCAGAATTGGCTGCTGAAGATCATCGGCCTCCCCTTCCCACTTTTCTATGGCCGTGGTATCTTCCAGTCGAGCTGTGGTTTGATGCCCTACCGTCATCCTGTCACCACCATAGGTAAGCCAAGACTAAGTCCAGGAGGGGCAGAAAACAGGGATAGTACCCTGGGCTATGTGCTGCAAGGGGAAATAGAGATGGGCCAGATACAATCCTACCATTTTGGGGATCACAATCTAGATGGGCAGCACACACGCATGAGTGTGCACACACACACACACACACACACGCACGCATGCGCGTGTGCACACGTGCACACACACACACAAACACACATAGCAGAAAACTAAATAAAGAAGTCTGGGGTAACAACTATAACAGACCAAAAGAACCATAGTCACTACTGACTGCTGAGACCCTGTCATGGGCCAGGCACCATACCCCCTGGCCTAGGTGCAACAGCTCAGTTTATTCTAACAACCTTTGAAGCAGGATTTCATCTATTATTATTCCATTATTATTATTACTTTCTTCACAATTATTTCATTGATAATGAACTGAGGCTCAGAGAATTATGTGACTTCCAAAGATCACACTCCCTTTGAGTAACAAAGTTCAAGTTTGAATCAGGATCCAACTTCTTATCATGCCAGAAAAAGAAGATTTAAATCTGAACCAGTGGACCTAATGAGGCATATTTGGAGAAACCAGACACCAGGAAAGCACTGTAACTATATCATCACTGTGTGCAAATTAGAAATTCACAGGTTCTGAATTAAAGCCTGAGGGATCTTCCTGTGCTGAGTGAACCTGAGGTTAAATGCATGAAGTTATTGCCATCTTTTTCACTAACTGGGCTCCTATTTTGGTTTCTTCTTCAATTCCAACTTAGTTTCTCTGAAAATTTTTTCAGAGAAAATCTCCACTTGCCTCATCTCCATCCATGCATTTATTTGTTAGTTGATCACAGATTAGGGACTCCTCTATGTCATGATGTTCCCTGAATCATGTAACCAAAACTCCATGAATTTTAATCCTGTTGCTGCCTCTAGTCTTGTTTCCAAGAAAGAACTGAAGAGCTGCCTTCCTGGCCAGGCCTAGCCAGAGGAAGATAGGCTTTCTGATTCCTAGTGTGATGGGAGAGGGTCTGCAGGTCAGGATGCAGGGCACTAGGGGAATAAGAGCTAATCTGGGCTCTGAGTCTCCTGCATCCTAGAAATACAGAGACTGCCAAAGGTGGACCCCCAGAATCAGAGAACCTGGAGGCCAGGGGAACAACTTCAGGGTTTAAAGCCTGCTATAGCTTCTTACTTATGTGACCTGAAACTGGGCACTTATCTTCTCTGACCCTCATTGCCTCACTAGGCAAGCAGGAATAATGACAGGTTTTGTTCCTATAGGGTTTTAGGAGAGAACACATGTTAAGGCACACAGCACACTGCCTGACACACTGGAAGCTGGCCGTTGATAAATCAGTCAGAAACTTGGGGTTGCCCCAATACCTCAGGATCTATCACCTGAATTTAGGGTGGGAAGGGATAGCAGTGAGAGCACTTTCCTGCCGAATGGCCTGCTCTAAGGGCTCCTGTGACCCCTGTGGTTCCCACTCTGGACCCCTGCCCACCCCTATGCCTTGCAGTGGGGAAGCCCATCAAGGTGCAGAAGACCCTGCAGCCTACAGAAGAGGAGGTGAACCGGTTACACCAGCACTACATGGAGGAGCTGTGCAGCCTCTTTGAGGCCCATAAACTCAAGTTCAACATTCCTGCTGACCAACACTTGGAGTTCTGCTGAGTTCTTCCAGCCAGAGAAATGGTTACACCAAAGGTCAGGGCCAGATTTTCAGGCCCAGGAGGTAGAGCCCAGACTCCTACCAATCCAACCACAACTGGCAACATGGAGGAGGAGACCAGATTTTGCCAGCTCTGGTTTGCACTCTTGCACCAAAGGAGACTGCAAGTTTCCTCCAGTGAAATGTGACAGGACTGGAAAGGGATGATTTGTGAGACCTCCTTCCTCTGTTGTCACATCACTCCAAGATTATAAAAACCATAAAAGCAGCAAAAGGGAGCAATGACATTTTTCTTTCACCCCCGAGTGACAACATAAATGAAACCACCAGCCAGTCCTTTCCCCTTCATGCCCCCTCATCCTGCATCCTGAATGTCCCTTCCTGCCCCCTTGGAAAGTGAGGAAGCGGCCAGTAATTCCTGCACTTACCCTGATCACCTTTGTGTTTCTGGGTCCTCTGAGCTCTGAAGGGGATGTGCCTCTGTTCAGACTTCATTCTCCTCACCTCAGTTTACCCAACTGACGGAGGTGAGTTTAGAGTCTCAGTTCTGACATCACGCACGCTGAGAGCTCCACAAGGGCACCTCTTACTCATCTTGGTAAGTTCACCTCAGACCTGGACACAACTGGCTCTGTAATCGCTAGTTCAATGAATGAAAGGATTCAGTTTTAGTTCCCCTCTTTCTTAACCACCCCAACAAGGTGGCTGGCAGAAGCCTAAACGCTGTCCTCCAGCCTGGCACTGTGACCCTGAATCATCTTCCCAAGGCTGGATTAGAGTGGCCTGAGGAGATCAGGCTGATCTGCTCCTTTCTATACATTTAGGCCAGCACAGAGAATGAGAAACGAGTGTGAGGTGTGTATGAGGTGCATGACAATCTGATGAGTAGAGTTCTGGATACCTGAGTCAGGAACATGCGTGAGTGATGAAGGAGGAAGCTGGCTGCTTACCTCACTCTCTCTTTGTCTTGATCACATTTTTCATTGCTGGGCAAAATACCTGGTCCCCACAACTTCGAGGAAGAAAGGTTTATTTTGGCTCATAGTTTGTAAAGGTTTCAGTCCATAGGTTAGCTGACTCCAGAAGCAAGATAGAGGCATGACTCAGCGGACCTATTTGTGCCATGGTGGACAGGAAGAAAAGATAGTCAAAGGAAGAGCCAGGGCATAAATCCAGGACATGCTCCTGGTGACCCCCTCTTCCAAGCACCCCCCCACCTCTTAAGAGCAAAGCAGCTATAAGACCCATAATCCAACTACCTTCTAAAAGCTTCACCTATGAATTATGCGGCTCTTGGAGGACTTCTCCAGGATAAAACTATTAAAACTGCCTAGTGTTGTAGAGATCGTGCCCACAACAGGGGAGAAGAGCATTTGGAGAAGTATTGATTTGAGTTCAGATTCTGCCTTCACTTATTTTCCGTGACCCTAAGTAAGTCATATCTCCTCTACCTCAATTTTGTCATCTGAATAAGTATAATAATGCTCCCTCAAAGTGTAGTGAGCAGATCCAGAGTCACTCCATGTATTTTACAGAATGCTGCACAGTGTATGTAAACTACTAGTTATGTGACATGGATGCCCAATGTCTCATGGAGGCACCTAGTGTTGTGCTAAGGGTCACAGAAGGAACTGGAAGAAAGAACAGCAGAGTTCTAAGAAGGGAGTAATGACATTCTATCCAGGGGAAGTTGAAGGAAGTGGCCATGGGCAGGGCTTTGAAAGAAGGTCAAGGGTAACAAAGGAAATGAGTAGTGGCCCTGATAATTATCTACTGCTATGTCGTCACCTCTTCCTGACTGGCTGAAGACAGGAAAGATAATTACTTCTCACCATTTTGAGTCTTCTCTAAGGGGACAGCATCTTCTCAGGTCTTGCTTGAGCAGCTGCATTTGACCAGTGGTTAAGTGAATGCTAGGATCCCTAGAGAGGACAAGATCTCTCTCTTTGCTTATAGAGAACACTGGTCCTGTCTCTATCTTGACTGGCGTTTCAGCATTTAATGGTGATTGGATTCCAACAGAATGAGGGCCAAGTCTGTAAGTACTCAAGTCCTAAATCACATAACTTAACACACCATCACTTCTGCATTGTCATTTTGTTCAAAGTGAGTGATGAGGCCAGGATTGAAAAATAGACTCTTGTGAATCCGAGGAGCACCGATGTCATCTTACAAAATGGTGGATATGCTTGGAGGGTTCTGGTGAATACTTTATAAACAATACCAAAAATTTAAAATTGAAAACCTGGCACAACATATACACATACTCTAGAATTCCCTGCATGGCTATGGTAAAGCTCATGTAACCAAACGGCCCAAGCTTTGCCCCCCGTCTCTGCTTTGTCTCCAGGTCTTGGTCCTCAGGTACAGCAGTTAGGAGTTTCTGATGGATGGGCTTTGCGACAGAGCACTTCTGTGTGTTCCTGAATGAATTCTGGGGACATGGCTTTGGGGTCTGTGTCTGATCCCTTGTTCCTTCTTCCCTGACACTCTTCCCCTACCCTGTTTCCTGGCCGCCATGAACTAAGCAGCTTTGATTTACTATTCCTTTCTTCCATAGTGTCTGCCTTGGGGCCAGCTGTCCTTGGACTGAAACTGTGAGCACATTAAATGTCTATTCTAACTTGTGGTGTTAGGTATTGTTTCTCAGTGATGAGAGAGCCAACTAATACAGCTATCTATCCCCACGTGCCATGGTGAGCTGCCTGAAACATCTACCCATGTGCTTCCCTGCTCCAAATCCTTCTGCTTCTAGGCTAAGGTTTGTATCCAGCAGTCCTCATAGGATAATGTGAGGAGGGTGTCATAAAGGGACAGCTTCCTGAGATGTGTGAAGACTATAGATAGCCACTAAGAATGCTACCATAAACCAGTGCTGTGGTAACATTGCTGTCCTGCCCTGGGTATGGAAGTCTAAGTGAGGCAGCAGGCATCTGGACCGAAAGAGAGATTTGAAGCAACTTCAGGTGACCCTCCCTGCAGGAAGAAGCCCAGGATATGCACACTCCAACCTGTGTAGTCCACATTGCATGAAGAAATGAGGTCTGTGGCTGTAGGTAGCTCCTGGCACAAAGCACAGGTCAGAGCTGGGCAGAGAATGCTCCTGAGGAGTCAGGACCAGACAGAAGAGTTCCACCTCAAGGCCCAAGCTATGAACCTACCATTTACCACTCACTCCATCTGTGTCTCTCTTCCTCATCCCTCTTCCTCTGTCATAGAGACTGTTTGCTGTCCCTCACATCACCTTCATACTTTCTTGGCTCTGGGCTTTTGTCCATGCTTTTCCTTGGCCATGGAATACTGTTCCCCACCACGTGTTAACACCCCTTACCTGGGTGAGTCCTCCTCTTCAGTCAGTACTGATTCATCTACTCAGTTGAGCCTTTCTTAAGGGTCCTGGGTGATGGGCTTTCTCTCTGATTTCCACAGGCCTCTTCTTCCTCTATCATAAGTGCTCAGCACTCTGTGAGGTCACTGTGGTAAAACATTATGCTCCTGCCTCTGGTCACACCTGCCTGCTAGCCACAAACAGTTCCTGTATCCTATCTCTTAAATCTCCCTTCCTAGGATGGTCTCAAGTGCCTGGAGACAATATCTGAACTCCTGCTCTGCCTAATATTTCACGCCCTAGCCCTGGTCAACCCCATCTCCTGTCCCTCACCCTGCCACCCACTGTTTCAGCACCCTCCACTGCTCTCTGAGTGTACTCTGCTCCTGCTCCTGTTGTGTTGTGGGCATCCTTTTTCCTTCCTTCTGAACTCTTTGACCTGGTCAATGTCACTCATCCCAAGGTCACCTTCTTTGTCATACTTCAGCCCCTCTCCCCATCCTCAAATTTTGTTCTCTGCCCCGAATCAGAATTAGTACCCACTGGGGCTGGCTTTGGGTATGAAGGAATCATGGTCCCCAGTGAATGAGTGATAACCGCTGAGAGCCAATACCATATCCTTGCTGCCTTCCGCATCCCTCACCTCTGCAAAGGACTTGTTATGCCTCAGTTTCCCCAGTCAATGAGAAATGGCTAAGTCAATTCTTACATAATGACTTCCTCTATGAAGTACATGCTGGATCTAGAGCAAGAATGAATGGGCGAGGCCTTGCCTTTGGAGGTGGTTAAATTTGTTAGCTCTTGCTGTATATAACAAACCACTCCAAACTTAGCTGCTTTAATTGACAAACACTACCTTATTGTAATCCAAATATTGTATATTATAAATCCAAATATTGTAATCCCTTTTCTGGTCCACCTCACAATCCAGAAAGTTATATTTGTATTCTCATAGAAACATTGGAATTCCAGTGAGCTAATTCAAATCTACCACTTCGAGTGCAGCTCATGGTAAGTAAAGACATCTAAGATATATTCAAAGTTATGCGCAGTCAAGGGGTCCTGAGTCTGATCTGAGTTAGCTTATACAGATAAAGGCCTTGATCCAAGGCCTCTCCCAGAATATATTGTTTCAAGAAGAAGAGAGTGGTTCAAGGATGAGTGACAGGAGAATGGTGGAAATTCGTGAGCAAGGTGAGTTTGAGCTAGTCAAGTGGAAAGCAAACATCTCTGCAATATGCAGGGAGAAAGATACGCAGAAAGACCAGTCTGCATAACTCAACTGAGGTAGTATGTAAATGAATTTAGGAGGCTGTTGCTTCAGTTTCTGATATGTAAACTTTTGTACCCTGGGAAGTCAGCCTCTTATTTTGAGGCTCATACCCAGTTGACATTCCTGGGTCTATGTAGTTCTGCCATCCTCCTGTGTTCGACTGTTTTACAGAGAACGTGATGTGAAGAAAAAGGAAACTGTCGGCTGGTCTTAAGGATTACATATCAGTACCTCAGCTAGCCTTATTTGCATTGCTTAAAGCCAATTGACAATAAAAGGAAGTGGCATAGCCCACTATGTACATATCAGTATATGGAAATGACTAATGCTGAAGCAGTTGTTCTGCATTCAAGGTGAGGTGCTCAGCTTGTCTCCTACACTACCTTATGGTTCAGGAGAAGCTGAGCTGGTGGTGGCTCTGGCTCAGGGTTCTCATGAGCCATGTCCATACCTACTCATGCTGCAAGCACCAGGAGGCTTCTGTTCCTTGCACTGTGGAAATTTCTACAAGACTGCCAATGACATGGCTTCTCCCAGAGAGGGGGAGTCAAAAGAAAGACCACCTGCTTCTTGTGAACTGGTCTTTGAATTAGACATCATTAGCTCTGCCTAAGTCGATTGGTCAGGTGTGACTCATTGGTCCTGCTCATACTCCGTCTAAGGATATGCATATTGGGAGGTGGGGCCACCGGGCATAGGGTGAAGAGTGGTTGCCATTGGAATAGGCTGAACCCTTGGATTCTAGATGGGGCTACCTGACCTGTATGCTGGTGCATGAGACAGCTTGCCTGGAAGACGGGCTGAGCCTGACTTGATGAGCTTGATGAGCTGGGGCAACAGTTTGAGCAAATGTCAAGGGCAGGGATGATGACTATGATCCTCACCCCCAGCATGGCTGGGATAGATTTCAACATGATTGTTAGATCTGATGGTGTTAGGATGGGCAACAAGAGGAAGGACTAAGACTCAACGAAGGAGAACTCTCCCTCTTTCACACCTCTTGGAGACTCCACGTTGAAGATACTGACAGCATAAGATAGAGAAATACAGAGGCCTGGTCTCAGAGAAGAGCTGCCTGAACAGTAAGATATTCTAGGGATGCAATGCATAATAAAGATTTTCTTTTGCTGTGCATAATCACTCAGATTAAAGAATGCTTTTTATAGCTGCTGGCTGCCCCAACCTATGTGTGAGAACTTACACGTGTCAGGGTCCAGTAATTAATTTAGCACCTTCAAACTGACACCTGAAGGTGCCCACAGAGCTGTGTCAGGGTTCATGCATGTCAGGATCCAGTTATTAATTTAGCACCTTTGAACTGACATCTGCAGGTGCCCTCAGAGCTGTATCATGAGGGAAAGGCAGCCTCTTCTATTCAACAAGCATACAACAGAGAACAATAGCGCTGTATGTATGATAGAGATGGTCAGAGGTCCTCGAGTGAAGGCACAGCTGGAGTCTGCTAGAAATCAGGCTGCCCTTTGATCTGGG